TTAATATACCTCCATACTTTCTCCTTATCCTCGTTGGTGCCAGCTGGAAACTTATTGAAAACTAACACTTTAAGTGAATTGAGTTTGGCGCTGTCTAGACGCTTTTCTCCATAAGTACCATCAGTATTGCTGTTCGCTAGTTTCTTGCTGATGAAAAAAGACTGCAGGAGCTTCAGCACACAGAGGTGCCGTTCACTTCCTCGTCCCAGGGCCTGCTGGACTGCTTTTATTTTCGTGGGTGTCACACACGTACCAATCAGTTCCTCGCCAACTTCCTGCGCAGAAGTTGCCACTCTGGTAGGTTGCACAACCTGACTGGTTGGACCTCCTCACAAAGCCTGTCCAGTGTGTCAGTATCAATGGTGCTTAGGCCCCCAATGTCTGCAGGTGGCTCATTTTTGTCTAACTCTGGGATGTCAGCAGCAAAGCCGTTATCTGTGACTGTGGCATCGAGGTCGAGCTGCAAGAAAAAAATAGAGCAACGTTGTTTTTATTTGTCTGCTCACCAATTTCTCCCATTGATAGGTCATTAGCGTGACCATACTTAATTTTTCTGAAATATGATCAGTGCTGATAATCAAACATTACCATATTTTCTTAGCCTGTTACGTTGTAGAGAGATGCTCTTTGGGCTCATCACGCTAATTTTTCTAGTCATTTGTAAAAAAAGTTGGAAATCAGCCTGCTTTTGCAGCTTAAGTGAAAGTGAGAAAACCCTCTTTGTTTGAATTGTATCACTAGAAACTCTCAGGCCGAAATCTTGCAGCAGTCTTACAAAAATTTCTTACCCTTGAAAAATGAGTCAGGGATTGTCCTTCCAGTGACTCCAGGCGTCCTTCGATGTTTGATAGTGCAGCACTCGCGTTGTTTTCCAAGGCAGACATCTTGTTCACCAGTTTGTGTTCCATTCCTGACAGGGATGTTTCAAATTTCTCCATCATCTACAAGAGTTAATGGAAATTTGGGTCAGCTGACAGATTCAGGACACAGTGCTTTTAAATTAGCTTTTTGTGACCTTAGAGAATATGAAAAAGCACATGTTTTGAGTGTTAAACCTTCAGTTGGGACAAGGCAGAAGGGCCAGCACTCAAAACGCTAGCTTTTCAAATTCGATACGGCCGTCTATTAGCCTCCATTTATGTTTAGCGAAGTTGTGGTTTCTAATCAAATAAGTGTTTTAATAGCAATCTGAAATCTCCATGTACAGTAAAATAGTACGGTTTAAAGAAAATTGCCCAGATTTTCAATTTGTCATTGGCGATCCGTGATTTTCTAAATCCTGAAGTAGTCCACTTAACTAATATTTTAAATTTTCCCAATTGCAAAATAGTGATGTTATAGAGTGTTGTGTCTTTGTTTCGAGAGAGAGCGGACCTGACCACAGGTTAATGCATTACCTTAACAACGTTTTCTTGCATTTGCATCTGGCAGGAGAGAATTTTATTGTTCGCTTCTTCCATGGCATCTACCATATTCATTAACTGACGACACTCCTCTGTCTTGGCAGCGAGCTGCTGGCGGAGTATAGTGACAACATCGTCTTGTAGGGAGGAACTTGTCACCGTCACAGACGCTGCGCTTTCTGCTACCTTGGCCCTCTTGGATTCTCGGACTTTTTGCCACTCGTGCTGCCGCTGCTTCTGGCCGACCAAGAACTGCTCGTACGGGTGGTCACTCGGGTTTGCTTCGGTCTCGGGACATTGCACTTCAGCAGTCTAAGTCAAACAAAATCAAATGATTACCTTTTGATCAGAGCAAAAATTCCTTCGCGCAATTAACAACAACACTTCGGAGCTACACACGGTAACGGTTGAGCAACAACAGTACAAAACAGAGCGAAAAATCCTTCACAAAATTAACAACATTTTGGAGTTATGCAAGGTAAGGGTCGAGTGACAATATTACGAAGATTTAATTGGTGTAACGAGTAAATGGTAAATTTGAGTCAATCGCCAATAAAAGAAGTTCCCCAGAGCTTAGATTAGGAAGTTAAGCGAGCCCAAAGAAATAGTCGACCTAACTGATTACCTTATTTCGGGCACCTTTTTTTCTTGGTGGCTCTGTGGTTTCTCGGATTTGTTCTGTCGCTGCTGGAAAATTCTTCTTGTACCATTCCAGGTCTTTCTCAGCTAACACTTTCTCGTCATCTGTAACATGGACGTGAAATTACGGACTTGGTGTTAAAAAAATTATAACTGTAACCCAAATTGCTAGTGCTTACGAGAAAGGATCACCTAACTAAAAGATATAGACCTCAAAACATATGATTGACACTTACCGCTTACAGCAAGGATCTCTGCTTGCACTTTCTTTCCCTCCCAGTTAACCTGGACAGACTGTCCCTCCACTAAATCGAGGTCTTTCTCGACGATGAAACAAGTTGACGTGATACCTGTTTTGCATTCTTCAGGGAAAAGAAACAGTGCTTTTGAAACATGTTTACTTGTTCGCTTGCACAACTGTCTCAGAGACATTCCGCAACTGTTGAGACTGGAAACTATGGTGGCTACCTGCTAACAAATGTGACTACTTAACTTTGATAACAGAGCCTGTTTTATATGTTATACTAAAGGTCGTGCAGATCGAAAATGCATTGTTTTCATTGGATAAATGAGGTGTAAGTGTTTTTATTGGTCCGCCGGAACTTGTGTGTGTTCACATAATAAACAACTATTGACTGATTTATAACATCAATACAGCTGTCAGAAGGCATCATTTACATGGACTCCAGGCATCTGTGTAATTCTTTACCTGGTATAAAGTGAGAGAAGTCGAAAAACTTGTTCTTTGCCTTTGCAAAACAATAATTGTTTAATGTAACTGTAACTGACTCGTTGATTCCCCATCAATAGTTCATTAGGAACTATTTACAGGGGTGGGGGCAGGGGGCGAATTATCCCCTGGCTTGTCATTTGTACTTTTTATAGTCTTCTCATCCACAAAACATAAAAAAAAATACATAATTTCTACAATGTTGAAAAAATTGAGTGTGCCTTATTTGATGGTCCCTGTTTTGTTAAGATTTAAACTGAAAAATTCTTTTTACCACAATGGCTACAAATCTTGCAATCTGATTGGCTAATTTGCTCTTGTCGATAAGAGTCCAGACAACGCTGCTCATGTCAATGTGTCATGCAACGCCTTTTTCAGCTCGCGGTCTGAAAAAAACATTTCCTTTGATGTTGATATTGTGGTAAAAAACAAAAAGAAATGTGGTTTAGTGTGCACTGTACTCTCATTGACAATATGCGTCATCACAGGGATCAAAATTTGTTGTGGAGGCATATCATTGTCGATTAGAGTACAGACCATGCTAAACCACATATGATTTGTTAATTTCCTCATTTATGATTAACTTATTGTAATGAGGAGCCCCGCGTTTAGGCTTGGCTAAATCTATATATTACCAGCCTTTCAAAGGCTTACAGCAATTTCTGACTGAAACGATAACAAGGGCATATGATTCTTGGCTGGAACTTTTTTCTGGGTCATGTGTTCCCGATACAAAAGCCAACCATTTACAACAGCTACATGAATGCAGTAAAATACCATGTGCATATGATACTTGGTTGGGCGGTGACAGATGCAATACATTGACACCAGCATATCACATAAGTCGACACCACCCATGTTGTTGTACTCAACAACCATTGATCAATCGCCCTCTTTCTTGGACCAATGTCATGCTTGTAAAGCCAGGTCATTCCCGATATAGTTGGAAAGAAGTTGAACTAGACCATTGTCACAACAGCGCAGAACAGTGACCCCTGAGTTGGCCTCCACTACGTAATCAAAGGACCTGCAACCTTTCATATTTAGCTCTTTTTCTGCCAGCAAATGTCTGTCTGCTCCTTTCAAACAATCCTTACAGATTGTTTACGGACTGTTGCAACTGCCTAAAGCCCACTTTCTTCAAATGGTTCATTAGGGGTACTGAAGAGAAAAAATCAAAGAAAACCTTGTGGTTGACCTTTTTTGGGAGTGATCATGTAAAACAACAGACAACATTGCCTCCCAGAAGTAATTCTGGCTTTCCTTGAGCCTTGTTTGTTTTTCCAGTGTACATCTCAAAATCATAGAGGATGCCACTTACACCACATCAGGCCCAAACCTTTATACCCACTTATTTGGCTTGTTTGGCAGGTACTGTTTCAGACTAGTACAAATTTTTGTAGGGATGATCTGCTCATCTACACAGTGATTTTCCTCGAGGTATTACTTCCGACATTTTTCATGCAGAGAATCAAGAACAGGCCTTACCTTGAATAGTTTGTCAAAGTCCTTGTCCATGTTTGGCAGATTTTTGCTACGGTCATTGCAGTGAAAAAATTGTTTAATTATTTTCAAAGCGGTTTATCGACATGATATCTGTTACTGAAGGGATTCTAGTTGTCCTCCTCCAATATATTCTAATCTGCAGCAATTTTATAATGAACATCATTACTTACATACCCAGGTACATTTCCATTTCATTATGATCTACATTAATTTAAGTTCTTGTTGATTGTATTAACAATGATTTAGTAATACATAGACAAGTAAAAACAAACGATATAATCTCCCAACGTTTCGGCGACCTCATGACGCCATTATCAAGGGTACAAATGAGAATTAAATTAACAAATGCGAGTTCAAGAGTTATAA